CGCCATCAATAAACATGAAGGGATGAGCTGATAGCCTTTGAAGGACCAATGTGGTCTCATATGGCCCAGGACAGCAATGGTCAAAGCTTGGCAGCACCTAGGCAGGGCCTTCATCCTGCAGTGGACAGAATGAGGCTGTGATCATGATGAGGTCTATTACAAAAGCCATCAAAAGACAGGAATGGTTTCGTGATTTCACTTTTAATTGCTATGGAGAATGACATTTACAAAGCTAATCAATTTAGAAAACTGAACACTCATTTTAAGAAAAACCAGCCCAATCCAGTAGTTACCTATTAATAAACCTAGCAATGAATGACTCTTCAAAAGTAAGGAATTTGAAAGTATGATGGGGAAAATACATATTTAACTAATGCTTCCTCCTCACAACATGCAAGCAAAAGAAGACCCTCATCAGATCTGTTGAATGGCCTTCCAAATTCATTTGGGAGATGTGATGAAAATGGATCAATAATTAAGTGCCAACATTTAGGCTAAAATTTGATTTTTTTCTACCTACCACTAAAAACTAAGAAAGCAAGGATATAAATATTTACTGAAATTAGAGAGAAAAATGGTCTATCTCTAGATCAGTAGTTCTCAAAGTGTGGTATGGTGACCCCCTGGGAATCCCCAAGACTCTTTCAGGGACCCATGAGGATAAAACTATTTTTGTAATAATAGTAGGATTTTAATTTCTAATATGGTAAATATATAACCCCCCATAAACAAAAATTCTTTGGGGGAGGAGAAAATCCTCAGTAAAAAGGTCCTGAGACCACAAAGTTTGAGAACCACTGCTCTAGATAAAGACTGACAAAAGTCAGTCTTTTTCCATATTTGTTAGATGAGCATTTCTCTTCTCTAGTTTTCCACCTATTGAAAAAGGATAATGCCTACCTATGAATGACTCTTTGGAAATATTTTCCAGATGAAAGTGCATAACGATAACCGCAATTTCTGCATCTTGGTTGCCAATGGAACACATGCTTATGACATAATGCATAGTAATCATTCTCTTAAGCAATGAACATTATCTTTAGACGAGTTAGAGCCAAAATAACATCTCTACAAGCAGCAAATAGCACTGCAATTGATTGTTCCTTTCTTGAGAAAGTAAAAACAAGGAGAATGATCAGTTCCTAAGTAGGGCTAACTCTTCTTTGAGGAATAACTCTTCAGTTTTATAAGAGAAATGTTTCAAGTTACTATGTTTTTTAAAACCAATGTTTTCTAACGACAATCCATCAAACCAAAGGATTCAATCAGCTTGCATGATTTCCTAATTTTTTAACAAGTTCCTAAACTTTCATGATGGGCTATTTTGGGGTCTGGGTGGGGATTTTTGTATGCCACTTTTCCTAACAAAGATTCAGCCCTCTCCAAATCAAAATTAAGTTATTTTGAAAAATCGAATGGTACCTAACATTACCACCCTCATATATTTCTGGATATACAAGGTGTGATGTATTCATCAACCTTTAGCTTCAATCAGCTTCAACCTCTGCAACTTCATTGTTAAAATGACCATAGACATAGTTCTATTCTTATTCCAATTGTCCTGATGCCTGCTCTGTGACACTTTAGGACTTCAGAGAAAAAAAGGATGACTGAGAAGGGTATGAAACTCTCACAAAGATCCCAGAATAGTCAAAAGTAGTAAGACATTCAGCTAAGAGGAAAAGAATGGCTCAGGCCATTGAAGGGAGAAATATCTAAAAAGGCAAAAAGAACGACTGAATGTGAGCTGGAGAGTGTAGGAAGACAGGATAGAAGTTGAGGAAAAATATATGGTTTGCTTCAACAGGCAAGGGCTTCCAAAATTTTTGAAAATCCACACATGATAATTACGATATATGTTGCTTTGAAGTCAAATATGTGTCATTTCATTGTACTTGACTAGTATTAATCACATATAGTCAGATAGTGCTCTGGAAAAGGAATTTATTCTGCTCAAATATCAAATTTATCATTTTATCAAAGCTAAAAAGCTATCAGCAACTGTCTCATAAACTTGTTCTCCAAGACAAGTGAATGAGCTAGCAAATAAATACCTACAAACCATCATAAATTCATAAGGAAGTTATTTTTTTTAATGAGCATCATCTTGTACTTCCCTGCCTATTTTACAAGGTATGGTTTCTTTCAGTTTTTTTGGTTTGATTTTGTTATTTTCATATATGTATCAGAAACTCGGTAAATAGACATTAAAAAGCAAACATTTCAAAATTCCCCAAGATAACCTAGAAATGACTTTAAGGACAGAAATGTCATTACAAATGAAATTTACTATTATTTATAGTGGTAGCAAAAAAGCTATTTGAATGATGAATCTTCATCCACTTCTCAGCTATAACTCTTTAATCACTCTGGGGACAAAATCATATTTTTAAAGATTAAATTAATAGATTAATCATGTTACTTTTGCCATTCCCAAAATGGCTAAAAACATTGACTACACTAGAGTAGTGATGAGCTCAATCTCTTATGTGCTGGTCATGCTGAGTCAAATTCTGTTATCTTTAACAAAAATAATATAGTGTTTGGATGTTGATACAATGACATCCCTGGTACTTCCACATTATGATAGAAATAAAGCAATGTTTTGAATCTCATTTTAATAGTATTCTGATGGGTTAAAACATTAATGCAGCTTCCTAAGTTCCATAACCTGCAATCAAAAGCCTAGGCACTGGGAAAACTGTCTGAAAGAATCATGTGCATCCTTTATATAACTGTAGTACACACTTCTGAAAAGAGAAAACAATTTTTTTTTGTTGGGGCAGGGGGAGAAGAGTTGGGATTATTTATAGGCCAATGAGATCTGTTTATCTTATTACAAACACAAATATGACCTAATCCACTACTGACGTATGTCAAAAGTCAACCATTGGGCCTCTGTGTTAAGATGCCAATCCTTAAAACTCTGGAACTATTAAATTATCTGACTTCCCAATAGACTTCCAAAAGTGGCAACATCCCCTTAAATAATAGCAAACTGGGTTCTTGTTTTTTAACACAATCCTCTTAATGAAGCCTATTTCAAAATTATACAATTTTTAAAAGTTTCTCAGTCCCTTTCTGTTAAAATTTTAATTGCTATGGAATACTTTACCTCCTGCTCATATTTAAATACCAAAATACCAGTTAAGCCACATCCATTTTGCCTTGCTAGCCTGAAAATTTCACTGCTATCAGAAATTAAAAACCAACCAACTCAAAATTTTCTTCTATTATGCAGTTACTAAAATATGCATATGAAATCAAAGTAATAGAAGTTGGATAAAATTAAATTCCCTACATCTCTACTGCACCATAGTCTATAACTCAGAAAACATGGCATACTCCAGGCACCACAATTGCAAATATGTCATAGGTTATTCATAAAGTCAGGAGACAAAAATGCACACAAACTTTTGTCATGATATTTTTCCCTTAACATTTTCTTTTAGCTCAAGCCATTTTCAAAAGCGAAATCTGAAAGTTGCTAAATTACTCTGGATATAAGAAAATATCTATCCCAATAATCCCAAGCCTATATATTTGGTTGTGATAATCACAAATATCTTACCATATTGTCTAAGCTTACTAAATGGCTGAAAATTTGGCCTGGGCTTTGTCTTATTCAATTTTCTCTCACCAAAGAGGAGTAAGGAAAAGTTATCACTAATTTAATATTACCACCCTAAATGTTCTCATTTCATTTGATCTTGGTTCATGTCAAGTTTTACCTGTTTCTCATCAACAGAGATGTCACACATTTGCCTTTGAAACAAAGTTCAAGATTATACAGACTCAGAATATACTTTTTGTTCATTAATTATATTAAATTCATAAACTTTGAGCAGTTCTGTTTGCAGGGTCATTAAGTGAAATAAATCATAACTTTTACAAACAAAGTAATGTTGGCAAAATCGCAAAAATCTGATCTCTAACAAAGAATGCATTTCTTCAGGTAATCAACTTTCGTCACTGTTAGCTGTATTTATACCATTTAAGGTAGTTGATCACAGTAAAGTGATAATGAGATCAAGGGTGGGGATTTGGTCCTTGCATAAGTCAGTTCATTGACTGGACCCTTAACCTCAGCTAACTAATACTGATACCACTAGCTAACCAATAACACAGACAACTAGCTGAAAAAACTGAGAAGCCCGAGACAATGGGCCACATTCTACATGAAGTAGGGGGAGTCAGTAAGACTTGGATTCACATGCTGCCTCTAATATATGTTAGCTAAATGATCATGGGCAAGTCTGAGTGCCCTAAGCAAATGAAAATACAGAAGGCAAATGAAAATACAGAAGGTAGGGATTTCCCCACACCAATCCAAATAAAAGAAATCCTTCAACAAAACAAAATAACAAGAACAACAACAAAAATCACTTCATTATTAATAAGGTAAAAATATGCATCCTTGTAAAAACTGTTAGCAGGCTCACAGAACTTTTTTTTTTGCAACCTATGAGAGCATACTTTGTTTCCTGTAGCTTTACTCAATTATAAACATTTTAAAATTTCATTTTTAATATAGCTGTAAATTTTATAGTTAGTACTAACAGATCACAGCTGAAGCATTTTATTCTTAGCCCAAAGAGAATGCCATAGCTATTTTATCTCTGTTGCTAATCTGTCAAATAGCATTAAGCCAGTTATATAACTTTGGGGGAGAAGAAGGGGTCTCTTCCATTTTTAAGGTGACTTTAAATACAAAATACAGCAGCAAGTCAGAGATGTCTTGAAGAAAAGGCTCAGAATTAGAAACCAGGACATCCATTTTCTTGTTATATTTGTGCTGTATGTTTATTGGGCAGCTTTGAGGACCATGTTTTTGCATGCAAAAGGAGGCTTATGTGACTTAACCTACCCTCCCTAGAATACAAGAACAACATAAAAATCTGCAAAATTTCCAATTGCTTTTGAATTTCATGTGTTTTTTTTAAGTTGCTTTATTATTTCTCATGAAAAAGTTAAAGCTATGCTTTTGGAAGTGGCCATACCTAGTGGAACTGGATCTGGATTGACAGGACTCTGCTGCCTGGAGTGGCTGCTGCTGCTGCTGCTGCCACCACCACCTTTCTTTAAGTCTTCCGCATCACTATATCGACGGATCCAGTAATTGAGCTCCTCCCTGTCTGCTTCCTGACATCGCCGTAGCACAGTGAGAGATCGCCTTGTTTTTTCTACCATGTCCATAATACAGTTTAAGAGCTATTAGGGAGAAAACACAAGTAAATATATGGATAAGAAGGTAAAGTATACGACATGATCATGAAGCACTTTATTTATTTATTTATTTGGTGTTCTGGCTTGTAATTCATAGTCAACTTAAGAATCATGGCATGTTGACTTTGAGGGCAAGTAGAGAAGTGAGACAATGAAGAAAAACTTCACTTAAGGTTTCCCCCAGCTGATGCCCCTATAAAGTCTGAAAGACAATTAAATATATAGAGTAACAGTTCATTTAATTTAGTGGTTCTTAACCTGGGATCCATGTACTTGAGTTTAAAAAAAAATTTTGTTAACTGTTTCACAATAATCTTGTTTTCTACGTAATCCTATGAATTTTATTTTATGCATTTAAAAACATATTCTGAGAAAGGGCTCTGAGGCTTTACCAAACTGACAAAGGCATTCATGAAACACAAAAAGAGAAGAATCCCTGATTTAACTGGTTTTGAAGACTTAAGTTTACGTGCAGAGTTGTCCCTTTCCAGAATCCAAATTCATCCAGTTCTGAATTCTACTTAGAACATGCCCTCACTTTGTGTTATTGTCTTAGGAACAGAAGGAGTAAAGTACTAAAACTAGTATTTTTTTATTAGATTTAACCTTAAACAAGAAATTTTTGACATAAGCATTTGTTAATATCTTTACATGGTCAAGGTGTTTCCATTCTTCTGCCCATTCTCTGTCTGTTAGTCTGTGATCAATCATTTCTTCTTGACGTGAGCCATGCAACCCTACAAAAGGAGAAAAGAGTATCTATTTACTCCCAAAGCACTCATTACATTCTCCATATGGATGCAGATATATGTTACAGCATATGTACATAAGCTAGTTCATTTGCAAACAGATGTGCTTATCAGTGAATGGGTCAACCCATTAGCCCTGCCTGAAAACAGAAACACATTAAAAGCCATTCACAGAATCGATAGAATACTGGAGATGTAGAAAACCTTAAAGGTCATCCAGTTCAATCTTCTCCCTTCAAAGATAAGGAAACTAAGTCGCAAATAAGTTATATAACCCAGTCATGACCTGTTAGTTCTTCCACCTAAATTTAAATTTCCTTTATTTCCTTTGCTGTTAGAGGTGGTTTTGGTATTTAGCCTATATTGCTATTTATTGGATGAGCTGGGACTAGAGAATTCAGGTTTCCTAACTGCAAGGTCAATATTCTTTCCTTACACAGCAATATCTCAAGACTAAACAGAAGATCAACAGAAGACTCTGAAATTAGCCTACCAATGAGGAAAACATAAAGTTATGTCAACTTGAGATAAGAATGGCAAACAAAACCATGATATCAGTAAAAATATTTATGACAAACAAAGGCTTTGAGAATTTGACTGATAATTTTTAAAAGTCACAGAGAGAACAAAAGGCATTCCCACTTTGGTATGTTTTTCTTATCTGATACCAGGACATCAGTTCTAATACATTAAAATATCCCAAACAGGAAGCTTCCACTTCCACTTGAATGTGAATTTGTACCAATAGGGTAAGTTTTGGCACACAAACACAAACATGAGTTTATATTTCCATAAGAACATATTTCTACAGGACACTGATATTATTATGAAGAAGACATGACATGATATCTAGGCTAATAAGAAAAACTACATTGCACATATCCAAAGCTCAATCATCATTACTGAAAATGTCTTATTAGATTTGAGCCAAGAAATACAAAAATCCTCCTTTGAAAGTTCAAGAATTTTATTTATACCTCAATTTTACTTCACATTAGAAGTAAATCATCATTGCTCTAGAAAGAAGTAAATGTTTTGTCATTGAACAACAATATTAATCACCATTGAACCTAGTTAAGATGTTCATCATAAAATATGCATATTACTCAAAGGATACACTATAAGACTCTTTCCAGCAGTATCTAGAAAGTTATTGTTCCCCCAATAGCTTCATTTACAGGAACAAAAGCTCAACATACTTTGTAAACTATGGAACAACACACTTGACTATGCACGTAACCTATAGGTTTAAAATACTTTAAAGTTAAATCCTACTTTTGGATTTGCTACTTTTTGAGTAGCGTTTTTCTGAGTAAGAAACTACTTTAGATCAAAATTAAAGCTGTCAAGGATCTTAGACATCACACAGATCAACCTCCTAATTTCATATGAAACAATTCAAGTCAGGCCAGACAGTCAATAAATATTTTTGAAAGATCTACTACGTGTCCGGCACTGTGCTAAATGCTGGGGGATAGCCCCACCTCAACGAGCTTACTACACAATCTAATGTGGGAAGATAACATACAAAAAGAAGCTGAAAATGGGGGTGGGGCAGGAAAAGTATTAACCCAGTACAAAAGAGTGCAGCTGGGCTGGCCGGCCTGGATTTTCTTTAAATGAAGATTTTGCTCAGCCTTACAATCCTCCCAATCAGAGAGACCGAAGGTACTGATGAGGTGTGAGTAGGAAGGCTGATGCAATATCAATGGATGGACAGTTTCTTAATCCAAAGAGTGTAGTGACTTGTCCAGTATTACAAAGATAGCAAGTGGTAGAGTCATGTAATTTGTTGTTGAAATCCTCTAACTTCAAAACCAGAGCTCTTTCCCCTACATATTGGCAGTGGTTATAGTCTCCATAACTGCCCTGGAGACACAACTTTTAGGCTTAAGATACATTTCCAAGAACAAAGGCTGCCTGTCTCTGAATCTAAAAGTTGAACCACAATTTAATTTCCATTCTGCTCAAATCAAAGTACGTGCAACCCAATATATATTTTTGGCTAACCAGGGTCATGAAAATTTGTAAGTGACAAACATGATTACATGAAACAATTATCTTTTTATTCTCTTTCATAAGAGTAATATAAACAATCCTTTATGAGGTTCCCATTAAATTAGTAAAAATCTTCAATATTTTAAATTAAAAAAAAGTGTTGCCTACTGAGAAAAAAGTAACCTGGTAAAATATTTCTTGCTAATTTGCATAATACTAGCACATGTATAACAGAAAAAGAAGTATTTAGCTATTACTCTGTTTGTTTTGATTATTTCAAGTTGAAATGTTTGCAAATATGCAATTTTTGTTGACTTATTTGTTGGCTGTGTTTTTTTGGGGAAAAAGCATTACTGTTAAAATTAGTCATCGCAGAAAGAACTGCAAAATGCTGGAGATGTAAATGTGACAGAAGCAACTTGCATGAGAGAGAAATTTTAAGATATCTTTTAAAGGACAAATATTTGCAGAGCTTTTTAAAATTTCAAAAATTCGACGAGATCAATACTACTAAGAGTTCTTGACATTTGGAGGGACACGAGCGAGCAAGCTGTAAGAAGCTGTTTGTAACTTCATTGAATTGATCTGAACTGCTGGTAATAAGCATTTGAGAAATATTTCTGTGCCCAAAAACTTGCCTTGTCAAACCAAGGAAGAACCAACAGGTCTAACTTGGCTCCTTTTATGTATGGTAACCATCTGTCACAAGAAAATAAAAATGCATACTCTGGGAGGAAAATTGCAATGCTTTAAAAGTTTATATTTATTCACGTGGTGGAAGTGAGTACAAAACTCCAGAACACATTGCCACTCTTATTGATCTGTAAATGACTATTAAAATGGAAAGAACCAGAGGAAAATCAATCTTAAAGAGTCACTGAATAGGAAATTTTAGTTCAATGTAGCTTAGATGTTTGGTAGAAAATAATGTCTTAAAATTAGGTGCACCTAAATTGGTTAATAAACTTAAAAGAACTATAAGTTTCTTTTATAAACTAGGATTGCTTTATTATGGAACTCAATTATGATGAAAACACTTCCCTGTTTAAAAAAAAACAAAACATGGCAGAAGTTCATACTCAAACTAGGATTACTAATAAGTCAATTTCTGTACATTCAAAATGGCAGCCTGAGTAACTGGCTCCATTCTTTAAGAGTCAACTTTACATTGAATGATTTCAAGGACTTTTTTGAAAGAAGCACTCAGGTCCACAGATCAACATTTTTTAAAGTGATCTATTATAATTAAAAGTGTTGAGAATCCAATTTAAAGAAAAATAGCTCCTAAAGGGATCATTCATGCCTAGGTAACTATTTCTTGCATATAAGCAATTAGTTTGTTGCAGCTTCAAATGTCATTTGCATTGGAAATGGTGGCATTTAATTATGAAATAGTGTTTGCTACCTAAAATTCAGACATCATCCAAACCTACCATTTGAATAGCTCTCCATTCTCAAGGCTGTAAGGGAGAATGAGTGTTTTTAAAGCAAACAGAATTAAATCTTCAACGGGTGGGGGAAAGGGATCTGAAGTGGCATGGGTCAAATGAGAGACATGACCTATGTTGGAGTAGAAGAATGTTAGAGTGAAAAAGAAAGGAAAAGGGGATATGTATATATGTATATATGAAAATAATCCCTTCCTAGGGATCCTATCTGGGACATAAAAGAAAACCTTCTAAGACTTGTTACAAAAGATAACAACTACTCACTTCTGGTGATTCATATGGCCACAAATAACATGACTAGAAGGAATCTAAAAATGGAATGTCAACCATTATGAACTCTTGGGTAAGAAACTAAAAACCATTTGGACAAGGGTTATGTTCTCCTCACTGTGCTGAAGGCAAGGTATACCAAGGAGAAATATTAATTTGGGAAGTATTATCTAAGAATGGGATTTTAGTTTTTGGACCATATAGCGATGACAGATTAATCAGTGGCCCAAAGATGGAGCATACCTAACAAAGGCTGTTAAGAACGTTATTTGCTAAGTCCCTTGGCAAATATGATAAATGGACTTCTTCAAAGTAAGAAGGATAGGATAAGGAGAACACTACTTTTAAGTATGTAACCACAAATTTAGATACCATAGCAAGTATGTACACAAAAGTAAAAAGAATAGTAACTGAAATAATCAGAAGTTCATAAGGAACAAAATCCAAGAAAGGCGGCAGTGTTAAAATCTGTGCCTTCATATGTCTATATACAAGTGCCTAAGTTAAGGCAAGAAACATATGAAGTCAGGTAAATCTGACCTCATAAGTATCATTGAGACTTGATGGTATTAAACTCATACCTAGATCATGGCCCTGAATGGGTGGGTTTACCTTATTCAAAATGATCATGAAAGGAAGAAAAACAAAACAAACAAAAAAACATGAGGTGGGTAGAGTAGTGGGCTACTCTATACATACAGTATAGTAAGAAGATAGACTCATGAAGAAATCTAAGAATTAGAGAAGGGAAGCATGACAGGGAGCCTCTGGATGAAGGTCAGTGGAAGGAAAAACAAATGATTATGAAAAAGGAAACAAATGAGGAGTTTGTGAAACAGGTCACAACCTGGCAGGGAGGCAAGATAGAGAGCTTGTAACTTCAATTATATAGATGTGTACAGGAGCTCACTCTCTGCCAAAAGCAGAGCAGCTAGGAACTTCTGACTTGCTTTTTAAAATAATCTTATCCTTCAAAATGCGAAGGAACTAAGAATGGGAAATGCTGTTTTGGATCTTGTTCCCACTAGCAGAGAAAAACTGGTTGCTGGGGTAAAAATGATGGGAACCCTGGGACAAAGAGACCATGTCGTCCAAGAATTTGTGAAGGATTGGAAAGGAAATCTAGACGCAGTCTGACATGTTCCCCAGAAATGGGGAAAGCAGATTTCAGGGGAGAGAAATGTAGGATCCTTTACTTGCAAACACTACAGGTGAAGCAGTCAACCAAAAAAGGATGGAAGATGCTCGAGAATTAAATTCTGAAGACACAAAACTAACCATTCCAATAAAGCAGGAAATAAAACTCAGAGGATTACAAAGGAAAAAATCATATTGAAATAGAGATCTAAAAGATCCCTTGTGAATTTCTGGACCCAAGGTTAAGAACTCGTGTTCTACATAAAGCCTTCTTTATTTCCCAACAGCTAGTGCTCTCCCTTTTAAACTATTTTGCATTTATTTTCTTTATATTTATTCTGTTCTATCTCTTTCATATATATATGTATATATATATTTGTAGTCCCTATTAGGATATAATCCTGGTAAGTAGGAGCCATTTCATTCTCTGTAGTTGTATGCTCAGTAGTTGGCACACGGTACTTTGTAAATGTGGGTTGCTATTAAGTACAAGTTGGTGGGAAGATTGAATGAAGTATGTGGGCATAATTAGCCTAGAGAAGAGAAAACTGTCTCAGGTCAGGGAAGGGGCAGGAAGGAATTTTCACAGATTTAAAGAGCCTTCCATGTGAAGAAGGCATTACAACTGTTCTGTCTCACTCCAGACGGTCAAACCAGGAGCAATAGGTAGAAGTAGCCAACAGCAAACTTTGACTTCATTCCAAGAACAACTTCCTAACAATCAGAATTTTACAAATGTGGAATGGGTTGTCTTGAGAGGGGATGAAGTTCCTCTCCTTTGAAGTCTTTAAGCAAAGGCTGAATGAACACTTTTTAGGTATGTTTAAGTGGAGATTACTCTGGGGTATGAGTTGGATTAAATGGCAACTGGGAAGCTTTCCAACTCTCATATATTCTGTGAAACTGATTCTGTGATTTTGAAGCTTACACAAGATGAGTAACCTCTGTTTATCTTAGAATTTGTAGTAACTCTTCTCCTATTTAAGTATTTGCAACTGTACTTCACGGTAACAAGCTTTCCACAAATGGCCTGGTTTACTAGGAAAAGGAAATCCCATGCTGATATATTCAGATTGGTTTTTGGGTCAACACATCCAGATTGAGAAACTACTGTTGACTATTTGAAGGATTCGTAAAGATAGTACTATGCCTACCTAGAGATGGTACCAAAAGAAACACTACAAGGTTTGGCTTTGGAGAAAGTAAAAAGTATAGGTTTAGACAGTCTTTTAATGTATGGACTGAAGTAGGCAAAAATCTCTGCCAACTCTAGCCATACCCCTAAACCCTATGCCTGACTTTGGATTGAAGTCTGCATAGAAGGAAAAGATGACTGTCCTTTATTGCTAATTCTAGGGAGCATATTACAAGTCTACTCTCAACTGGGTTTTGCTGCTGCTACCTAGAAGCTCTTAATCTGGTTAAAAACCTACTTCTTCCACTTTCATCCTCGGACCTTGCCTCCAATATTAACCCTGAGCGATACTGACAATGACTACTAAATGCTTGGGTACTGGCTAACGAAATTCTCATGCTGTGCTAGAGCCAATGTTCTAGTTTCACATTCCGACAATGGCTCCATTTCCTGCTACTTCATGGGCCTCCCTACTAAATTCCCATTATTCATCTCCTGCCTCCAGAAAAAAACCCGGTAACTACTTGCCTTGGGAGAGTAAGTCACCTTTAGTACATG